TTTGTCTGTGTTTCTTGGTTGAATTTACTAAACTGAAGAGCATTAAACTTTTTACAAAGCCTGTCTGTGTAAAGCTCAGGCAGCCCATTGTCTACAGGCATCTCCTACTCTGCAGAGCGCTTAAATAAAATAAATCATTTCTTAACAAGAGCTTAGCAGATTTAAGAACCCGTCAGTTTTTCTAAAAACATCAGCCGTGGTTAGTATAGAAAGCAGTTCCCGCTCCCCTTTAGAGAGTGCTGAACTCTAAATTGTGTTCTCAAAGGCATCAGCTCTGGAACATCAGTCTTCAGCTTTTCAGGGCACATGGGAGCTGTCTGGAAACACTTTGTGGGTGGTTGATACACTTTTAGTACATTAAACTTCTGCTACCAAGTTAATAAATACAGCTTTGCCACCAATCAAAGGAAACCAGCAAATCTGAAGCATAGTCAATAAAGGCAGACAAATCCTGACTTACCATCAGTGGTCTTTCTGGGTGAATTAGAGGAATGGTGGGACAGTGTATTCCCATAGCCCTGACCCAGACACGAGGGGATGCAAGGAGTGATTATTGTACATGCTTCTTACAGAAACTTTGTGGAGTTTTGATTTTTTCTCCTTGAAAAAGCCTATATTCACTGTGAACCCTTAGTGGTACCTAAAAAAAAAAAAAAAAAATGGTGGTAATGGGGCTCTTCTTTACAGAAGAATACCAACTATTAAGTGGAAGGAAGGAATGATAGACTAGAAAGTCCTGATTTTGGAGCCATCAAGGGATAACTGACACAAAGAGCATCAATAGATACCAAGACCATTGGGCAAAAGGTTTTGGGAAGCAGGATGTTTGTGTGGTCTCAAAGTTTCACTCCCCAGATTACTTATTAATTACAAAGGAGAAAGGTACCTCACAATGGAGAGAGCTGGTCGGTGCTACTTTACTTGGGTGGCTGAACATGGTGTTACCAGTAGCCAGGCACGCTGCCTTGGTGTGCCTCCTGGTGCAGTGCAGTGGGAGGGCACACCACCTGTGCCCTACTCCTGCCACAGTATTTACCTGAATCCAACATGAGACAATTAGGCAAATCCAGACTGTTGAATGTTTTTCAAGACACCTGGCCTCTTCAAAAACAACAGTCTTAAAACACTAAATAAATAAAAAGCAGAAGTACTGTTCCAGATTAAAGAAAAAATTTGAATATGAACTGTTTATTGGAAAATGTTATGCAATATTAATTTCTTAGGTGTAATAGTGGTATTATGGTTATGTAGAAGAATATCTTTTTACTTAGGAAATACATGCTAAAATAGTTAGAGGTGAAATATCTTGGTATTTGCAACTTTCAGATGGTTCAAAAAACATATATGTGTATATATAGATAGAGCGCAAGCAGATGTGCCAAAGATTAGCAGCTGATGAATCTACATGAAGGATATATAGGTGCTCATTGTACTATTCTTCTGACTTTTCTGTAAGCTTAAATTTTCTAAATAAAAAGTTGGAGAGAAGTAGTATGCATTCATTGTTAAAAACAAAGCAAATGATACAGAAAAATGCAAAGAGAAAAGTGAAAATCACCCCAAGATAACCACAGTTGACATTTTTTGGTGAACCTCTTTCCGGATATTGGTTTTCAGCTTATCTCTCTATTGATCTTTTGATCAGCCTATCCGTCTGTCTAATACCTTTTGGGTTGTTTTTAATTTTGTTACTTGTCCTTTTAAATTTTTTCCTTTGATTTGTTTGTTGAAGAAACCATATCATCTGTCCTATAGAATGTCCCACATTCTAGATTTGGCTAATTGTGTCCTCATGGTGGTGTTTAACATGTGTCTCTTTCTCCCATAAACCAAAAAAACCAAACCTATTGCCATTGAGTCGATTTCAACTCGTTGTTGTTGTTAGGTGCCGTAAATTTGGTTCCAACTCACAGTGACCCTACGTACAACAGAAGGAAACCCTGTCCGGTCCTGCACCATCCTCACAATCGTTGATATGCTTGAGCTCATTGTTGCAGCCACTGTGTCAGTCCATCTCGTTGAGGGTCTTCCTCTCTTTCACTGATTCTCTACCAAGCATGATGTCCTTCTCCAGGGACTGGTCCCTCCTAATAACGTGTCCAAAGTACCTGAGACAAAGTTTCGCCGTTCTCGCTTTTAAGGAGCACTCTGGCTGTTGTTGTTCCAAGACAGATTTGTTTGTTCTTCTGACAGTCCATGGTATATTCAATATTCTTCGCCAGCACCATAATTCAAAGGCATCGATTTTTCTTCAGTCTTCCTTATACATTGTCCAGCTTTCGCATGCATGTGAGGTAATTGACAATATTTTGGCCTGATTCAGGTACACGTTAGTCCTCAAAGTGACATCTTTGCTTCTGATAAGAAGACCAGACTTAATGGTCTGACTGAGACTGGAGGTGCCCCAGAAAGGATGGCCCCTGGACTCTCTATCAGCCCAGAGCTAAAACAGTTTCCGAGGCCAACTCTTTAGACAGGCGTTGGGCTGGACTGGGACATAAAGTGATACTCGTGAAGAGTGTGCCTCTTAGTCAAGTAGATACAAGAGACCAAAGGGGCAGCTTCTGTCCAGAGGTGAGATGGGAAGGCAGAGAGGGTTACGAGCTGGTTGAATGGTCATGGGGAACCGGGGTGGAAAGGAGGAGTGTGCTGTCACAGAATGGGGTGAGCAGTTAGGGTCTCATAACAATGTATGTGTAAAAATTTTGTATGGGAGACTAACTTGAAATATAAACTTCATTTAATTACAACAATTAAAAAAAAAAAGTGACATCTTTGCTTTTTAACACTTTAAAGAGGTCTTTTGTAGCGGATTTGCCCAATGCAGTATGTCATTTGATTTCTTGACTGCTGCTTCCATGAAGCCTTGATTGTGGTTGCAAGTGTCTTAGGCTGGATTCTCTAGACAAGCAAAACCAATAACGCATATAAATATATACAGAGGGGGATTTATATCAAGGAAACGGCTCACGTGATTGTAGAGGCTGGAACATCCCAAGTCCGTGGATCAGGGCAGAGATTCCTCTCAATTCTCATAGCCTCAGGGGTTGGCGAACCCAAGATTGACAGGTTGGAGAGCAGGGCTCCCACTCACAGGCTGTGAAGATCGACAAATCCCAAGATTGGCAGATAAGCTGATAGCTTCAGTCCCAAGAACTGGAGGTCAGACGAACAGGAGGCAGCAGCAGGATCCAGAGCGAGTAAAAAGTCAGAACGTCTGCTTACATTAGGATGCAGACCACATGCACAAGGAAACTCCCTTTCAGCTGATTGGCTACTCACAGCAGATCCTATCATGGGAGTGATCACATATAAACACTGAGAATCATGGCCCAGCCAAGTTGACACACAGTCTTAACCGTCACACCAAGTAAAATGAAATCCTTAACAACTTCAGTCTTTTCTCCATTTATCGTGATATTGCTTATTGGCCTAGTTGTGAGGATTTTTTTTACTGACCCTCTACTTTACTATGTATGATGAACTGTATCTATATATATCCATAGCTATATCTATCTATACGTATATATGTATGCGTGTATGTATATGTACTCATTGCCATCGAGTTGATTCCAACTCGTAACGACCCTATAGGACAGAATAGAACTGTCCCATAGGGTTTCCAAGGAGTGGCTGGTGGACTCAAACTGCTGACCTTTTGGTTAGCAGCCAAGCTAAAATGTATATTTTGTTTATATATATAAATAAAAATAAAAACCCATAGCCCTGGTGGTACAGTGGTTAAGCATTTGTCAGTGGTTAAGTATTGGGATGAATTTCTAGAAGTGCGATTGCTCTGGGTCAAAAGGCAAATACATGTGTAATTTTGCTAGATATTGCCAAATTCCCTTCCATAATGGTTTGTACCGTTTGGTATTCCTACCAGCAGTGTATGAGAGACACAGCAACATTTTTTGTGGTAGAACACAGTCTTAATAATACAGCCTTTGAAAAGTAAAGTAGACCTGGATTTGAGGATTATCTCCACCTCTTAGCAGTGTGTTCCTGGACAAATTACTTAATCTTTCTGAAACTTGGTTTCCTCATTTGTCAAATGGGGGTAATAATAGTACCTATTACACAGAGTTGCTTGGAAGATTAGTTAAGACAATGCAGGTAAAATGTTCAGCACAGTGTCAGGCATGTAGTACCTGCTCAGTAAATGTTGACTGTGGGTGTTCTTGTTATGCCTTAAGTTTGAAGATGAATGCTGAGTGCAAATTTATTGATAAAGACTGGGGGTTCCAGTTTTCTAGTCTCTCCATCAAAATGGCCAGAGATAGAGCAGAGAATATTTGCTCTTTGGGTGGTAACCAGCTGAAAAGAAATAATAAATCTCTATTGCTTTTATAGTTAAGTCTAGTTAAGTCTCTGAAGTGATTAACGAGTTTGGCCTACATTCTAATTTAGCTGTCAGAAGGGAGAGAGCACTACTTGATACTTACCGCCCTCTGAGCTAACAGAGTCCTCAGTAAATACTTTGCAACTCACCTCCACCACTGAATACCTTAAGGGATCATCTTCTAGAAGTACTCCTCAAGGCCATGTGGTTTTTCAGGCATTACTGATAGCCATGAGTTGGGAGTAATGATCCATGAATTTATTCATCAAGTGATTTTTCAGATAAAATGTTAAAGTGGTAAAACATGCTAGAAGTTTTCAGAATTCTTACATGACACAACTGGTAATTACTGTTAAAATTCTTGCCTAGACGACCCTCCCAAATATGGCTTTTCTAACCTGTGGATTGTTCTTCCAACAAAGGGGTTTTGACTGCCTCATCAATGGGTTCTGTAGTGCCTTCCCCTAAATCACAGTTTTTAATCACAAGTGAACTTTAGTTGGTCCATGAACCCTCTGAAATTGTAAGCAAAATTGTGTGTATATATGTGTGCATTTAGGGGGTGAACTCCATAGTTTTCATTAGATTATCAAAGAATCCATGATCCAAAAAAGGTTTAGAAATGCAGTCCTAAACTGTATTCTTTTCTGTTTTGAAGGATGTTGCAGCTCGGGGCTTGGATCTCCCTCAAATCACGTGGATTGTTCAGGTAATTTTTTAGTTGTTAAGGTGTGAGCTCGAGGCAGGAGTATATGATCGTGAGTAGATGCTTTGGCTTTAAGTGGAATAATTACTATCACCCTCTTGGGTGTTGCCCTGGTAACAGGCAGTAACCAGCCTTATATGCACAATTCTCCTGACATCCTTCCTTTACCTAGCCCACCTAACGGCTGCAGCAGAACAGCCAGAATGTGCAGTCGTGTAAGGGAGGTGGCAGGCTCTCTTGTTCCCAGACTAATGCATGTCACAAACGAAAGTTTCAACAATCTGAAAATACCAGGAATTACCCAGACCCCTGGGAGGCTTCATTCTGTCCTGAAGGTGATTGCTCAGCTGTCCTGAGAGCTGTGTCCGTGTACATTGACCTGCAGGGAGCAATTAAGTTCCTGACAGCATCTTACACATACCTCCAGCCTCTAGACACTTTGCCAGAGGGTACAGGTGTTAGCACTAGAGTCTAGTGGTTTTAGTTTTGTTTTTTATTTTCGTTAGTCTGCTGAATGGTATTTTTAAGCCCCTTCTCTGTGGGGGCCAGGGAGCACACGCCCTGTTTACGTGAGTCATGGTTTATTCACGTTTTAATGGAATTGCATGCCTATCACTGAGTTTAAAAAAAAAAAAAAAATCTGATCTGCTCATCACAGACAATTACTTTGGGACTAGAGGCATTGTTTCTTCTCTCCTCCTGGTAAAAGAGCAAATTAAAGATAAGAAGGCAAGGATAATTTTAATAGATGATAGGCCAGACACACAAAATTGATCATTTAGAGCCTTCTTATATTGGGACTACTGATTAGTTTAATATGCCTGGCCTCCTGTATAATATATTCATCTTGCCCCTCTGGTCTTCGATTCATGTAGCAGCAAAGAAAAAAGGAAAAGTGTATGTTTTGATTAGCTCTGATGATAATGAAGTTATTGCCATAGATACCATAAAGTGTTATGCATAATTCATTCTGCTGAGTTATAGCGTCTGCCCATTTCCCTGAGTCAGGAATACTCTCCATGGGAGCAAGTATGTCCTTTGTTGCCTCTCAACTGCATTGCAACTCATCTCAATTGGGAGTGAGTGTCACAGCAGCTAGGTGATGGGGACTAGCTCCTGGGGCCTATTCTTGAGGCCCAGCAGCAGAGTTGAGCTCAGTAGTTAGCCCCCTTCATCTTGGCACTGTCCGGTGTCCTCTCTTGCCTAATTCCTACTGCTTTGTCTACCAAGGAGGTAGGCCAAGGTCATGTGGTCATCCTGGAGAAATTCACCCCCACCTGCCTACCTTTTCATCCTTGCCCAGACGTTGCAGTGAAAAGATGCAAATAGGAAAATGAAGAGACCTGTGGAGAAATAAAATTAAAAAGGAGTTATTGGGACAAGAAGATGTCTCGTTTACCTGAAAATTGGCCACTGTTCACGTTTGCATGTCAGAGCCTTGTTATTTCCAATGAAGCCAGGAGTTTCAGGGTTGAGTGACTTCTTGTGATTGTCTTAGAGTAACCATAGCACCATGATTTAATTTTTGGGATACCTGGAGGCAGGTGAGGGGTATTGCACTTCCAGTTAATGACAATCCCTTGATCTATGAATGCCTTCATTTTTGTTGCCCTTTTTAGTACAACGCTCCATCTTCACCTGCAGAATACATCCATCGGATTGGAAGAACCGCCCGGATTGGCTGCCATGGGAGCAGCCTGCTCATTTTGGCTCCTTCGGAGGCAGAATATGTCAACTCATTGGCTTCTCACAAAATCAAGTGAGTCAGAAACCTGAACAGGGTTTTGGCTGATCTTGCCTAATTAACTTGCTGTCGCTTTTTACAGTGGATGGGCCTTGTAAGCTGACGAAGAACCATTAACCCTTGTGATCCCTAAATGAGTCCCAGTATAGCCAGTGGCAAAAACTAAAACCCTTAATACCATCAGCACATGACAATTTTCATCGCATTGCCAGACTAAGTGATAGAATGATCTGTTGCACTTCGTTTTTCTTTGAGATGGAGGTCTGTGTTTCATTTCTCTTACTGTAAAATAAGTGTGCACAACCTTCACAGCCAGCTTCTTGAAGACCTTTTTTATTCACAACTTTTATTCCTTGCAATTCACATTTTGTATCTTTAAAGTTGATTTATCTCTTAAAACATTAATGCTTTTTACTCGTCACACAGCTTCCCTCCCCTGGGAAAATAAACCCAAGGGACAGATAATTTAGGGGTAGTTGAAATATATATTATACATTCACAACCAGTGCTTTCCAGGTGCCATTTTGTATGCACACAACAAGATGGCAGCACCTCCCATTCCCCTGAATCAAGCCCCAAATTCCAGCCTGGGCCAGCAGACTAAACCGAGTGCCATGGGAGTGCACAGAAGCTTAGTAAGGGCCTGCCATGAAACTGTGTGTCTCACGTAGGAAAGACAAAACAAAGCACACATACAGAGCAACATCTTTTCCTGGCCAGGAGTAAGTCTAATGAAACCAGAAATAATTTACCTGGGCCACAAAAATGAACTTGCATCGTCATGTTTTCCTGAAATACAGAGCTGAAAAAATCATTGCATTATATGTCTGAACGAGCCAAAGAGACATTATGGAGACCTGATCCGGGAGGGCCTGCAGCACTACGGACAGGCCACCACTTGGAAGAGCTGTGTGTGGTGGTCCCCACTGGTCCCTTCCGTGTTTCCACCTGCAGAACTCTCACTCTTACCCTAGTAAGACTTCTCAAAACTCTTTCAAGGGTGTTAATGTGAACTCTTAGGGACTGAGGCTTATTCAGAAAATAGTTCTGCATCCTTCAGTGTCAGGGAGGCAGGAACACGATCCTGATGGATCAGGCAGAAATTTCAAGTGGCTAAAACAAAGATGGTTTGGGTTTAATTTTTATTTAATGTGTCTCTTAATGCAATTTATCAGTTGAAAGAGTAGTTTTTATTTGTTTCAGGAAATGTGCCTATTTTATCTTGTTTGTGAGAGAAGTCGCATGTAGATAAATCAGTCAGTCACTGTTCACCAAGAGCTTTATCTCCAGCTGGATTCTATGTTCCCTGAGGCTGGAGGCGACTGGCATTTCTCTTTTCAGTGTCTAGGCTGGCACCCTATCAGGAAAGTATACTTCAGAAATACTGGTGGAATTAAAATGAAAGCCCATTGGTATAGCCCTTTCTTTTTTCTTCCCTTACTCTGTTCCCACTGGCCTCAAGCCCATCACAATTCGGTAGCTTTTTTCTCTGTCACAGAGGAATTTGTATACATATAGAAAGCATTTTCAGAATTTTGTTTTGTCTTCCCACAATAGAAAATTTTGTCACTGCACCTTAGCAGTCTATCATTCTACAGCCTCTTTTCCTGTTCTAGACCTACAAATTCACATCCTCTCGTTTGGCTGGCAGCTCTCTGGATGCCTTCCGTGCTTGCTGACATTGACATGATCTCCTCAGAAAAATGAGAGCAATAACAGTTACGAAGTCAAATGATACTTTTCTAATGCCAGAGTTAACATCATAACTTCCCCTTTATCTGCTTTCTTCATTTTTCTTTAATACACCTATTTAGGTTGATTCCTATGAAAAGCTCAAATATAAACCCTAAAACTGAAAAGGGGGGATGATAATTAGCACAAACACTATTAGTAGCAAGCCAATTATATTTTAAATATATAAAAAGTAAGATTGTCCTCTGTGATGATCTCATCTGGAAAATAGTACGAAATTCAACATAATTTTCACATTAAAAAGGAGGAGACAACTCAGCTATGCCAGTGACTTGGACTTGGAGAGAAAGTTGAAAAGGATAAAGATAGGGAAGTACTGAAAGGAAAAGATTTTGATCTCTTGGAGGGAGAATATAGAGGATGGTTAAAGAGCGTTCATGTAAGGAGATAAAGTGTTGTGTCCTACTTTGTTCTTGCTTATTTCTGTCCGGAAAACTCACCTATTGAAGTACCTTATTCCTGAACTACTAACTGCTTCACTGGGCTAGATGTAATCAACCTAGAAAAATATCAGAATCTTCTATTAAGTTACATATGTATTATATATATATATATGTATATGTATTATGTATTTTAAGTTATGTATGTGTTGTACTTTCTGATTTCTGTTTGTGGAAGGGCTATACATTGTATATCTACATACAGGCTTTCTTTGACTTAATACCAAAAAGTAAAAAACATAAATCTAAGAAGAACTTGTTGCAAGGTGTGCAGTGGAAAGAAACAGACATGAACATTTTTGGAACCCATAAGGTACACTCCTGGTGTTTTAAAAAAAAAAAAAAAAGGAAGAAGTGTATGTGTTTTGTGCATAAGAACATGAGAGCCAGGCAGCGGGATGCTGGGATGGCTGATGAATTACAGAGGAGATTCAGAAAGGCAGGCCAAGGCTCTCGACAGCAAGGGCCATCACAACAAATTGCTGCCTGCCTTCATATCCTGAGCGCTGAGGAACTAACCCTGACAATTTAATTCAGCAGCAGGCCAAGAGACAGGTGCCTCAGGCCGCTGCCGCCTCTGTTGAAACACTCAGAACTTTACTTCTACATCCTTTTGACTTCTTTGTGTTTGCCAACTTCTTACATTTTCTCTACCTCACCTTTAAATGTGTTTCTAACGAAAGTCATCATCATTGGTTTATTAAAGTGTAAATGTTTCATCAAAACATACATTTCTTAGATCAGGCATAAGACAGTTCCCCGAATTTATTTATCTATTTTCATAGTAAGGTGGGATGATTCAGATCTGTTGATAGAACCTTAAATAATCAGAGTAGATTTGCTTTGTTCCTCAGAAGAAAAGATTTCTTAGAATAAGAAGGCCTTTTAAAACTGTAAATCACTCCAGTTCACCCTGAACTCTTGTCCAGTTCAGGTATATGGTCTCCCAACATTGCCATACAGACACAACGTAGGAGCTGTGCCCTGGCTGAAATGTCAGCGCTTCTTTGTGTTTAAGAAACTGCCTTTATGTGGCATCTTCAGTTTTTTGTATCCTTGACTGAATGGCATTATTCTGTTTTTCCTTTCCCCCTTCAAGATTTGACTCCAAGTTCTTATGCTTCTTTCACTGTTTTCTTTTTTTTTTTTTTTTTCCTAAAGAAGAAAATGTCACATAGAGGCAAGTCATGTAGAGAAAGAAAGAGGTAGGTCTGGGCTATGTTTCCATCTTCCTTCAGCTTTCCAGGCATAAATAAGAGGCAGATTCAGTAGCCGTACATTTCTCTCTCGTATGAAAAATAGATTTTCCTGAAACCATGAGCATTTTCCCTCTGACTCCCACCCTTTCGGTACATCCTCTACCTTCTCTGAGTGACTTCTACTGCTGTAAAAAGATTTCCACGTATCCATAGGGCTGTGAGCTGGCAGCAGCAAGACAGAACGTTGAGGGATGGGGGCTCGGGGTTGTTCAGGGAAAAGATGACACATTTCAGGTAAATCGCTGTCAAAGACTTGACATTTTCATTCATAGCTTTGTCAGAGTAACCTTTGGGGGAAAAGGGGAGAAGTGTCTTCTTCCACATAAGAGGTTGCCATTCATGTTTTAATTTGCTGTTACATTTTCAAAAAAACAACATACAAAAAAATCATTTATCTTTTTATGATCTGTTTTCTCCCCCAGAACTCCTCCTCCCCTTTGTCCCTGAGAAGTATGTTTTCAACAGCTCATATATCCTCCTTAGTCTCTAAGACGTGATTCCAGATCTGCTTTCCATATTTGAGTGCTGTGGCCTCACAGACAGTTGGATGAAGTATAGACTCTCCAGACTTCCCACCCGTAGGCAGGGCGGACTGTTTTGTTCTCCCTTCCAATGACTTCTGCCCATAACTGGAAACCTGAAATCTGGTGTCAGCAATTTGTACATAGCTCTTGATTCATTAGAGATCATCTGGTCCTCACCCCTTAACAGTTAAGAGGACAAGAGTAGTGAAGATACCCCAGGGTGGAATGAGGAAGTCCTGGTGCTACAGAGGGGAGGCTTTGGTCACTTGTTAACCTTCACTGCGGTGTTTACCCCAACAGTTAAGGAAGGATCTTTAGGTACTTTGTTTTTTTTAAAGTATAAAAGTAAAGGGACAATCTGTTATTTTTTTAATATCATCAACTTCTGCTAGAAGCAAGGTAGTATACCAATAAGCGGGCCTACTTAATTAGTATGCAAGATATAAGAAATAGTGACATGTTCCCTATAAAAGAAATTCTAAATATAGCATATTTTAAATTTATCCCAAGGAAGGAAATTTTCAAGAATATTGCCCTGTCTGTCCCTGCAGTATCATAGAGGTCCCCTTCCTTCCAAATTCCTAAAGGTTTAGAAAAAGATTCCCTTTCCTTTGAGGTTGTAGCTCTACTTTATGTCTAACTAGCTTGAGAATAAGCAGTTTTATGCATCAAGATTTGGGATGTTTTTGAAAGAATAAAAAGTTTACCTTGATATACCCTTCCTCTTACAGTATTTCTGAGATTAAGATGGAAGATATTTTATCTGTTTTGACGAAGGATGATTGTTTTAAAGGAAGGCGATGGGGAAACCTGGTGAGTTTTACTGTTTAGTGTACTTGCTGCTAACTACATGATGTATTTCTTGATTTGGAGTAGTAGAGATTTTGTGTACCGGTTAATTATTTCCTCTGTCAAGCAAAACGTGTGTTTTAAGGACCATGAAAATTAGACGAGGACAAATCTTGATTGTGTTTTTCTCTTTGTGCCTTCTGGATGTGCCTATTGGTCTCATCCAGCTAATGGTCTATAGTCCATTCTGGAAGCCGGCCACACAGCAGCAGGCTTCCCAGAAAGGAGATGTAGGCCAGAATGAGTTTGGAGGCAGTTTTGTATGTTCAACCCTGGTGGTCCCTGTCCCGATCAACAAGGACAACTGATTCGATTCATTTATCCAAGACACTATGGAGAAAAATATCTCTGTGTCTCCTTTCAGACACACTTAGTTCATCCGTTTTTTAATGTGTGTGTGCTATACACAGAGGAAGAGTTAAGTTGAGATTATTAAGAAGAAAAATTTTTATTATCCATGCAGTTCCATATGGAGATCCTGAGCAGTCATAGACAGCCCTGAACATCCTTTCCTGCTTTTCTGAGGCTTCATCCCTGCCAGACAATCATTTCCCCACCTCAACACATTACTCAATATATCACATATACTTTTGTGTGTGTGTGTGTAGAGTGTTGCTGTATGTAATTTTGTCCGTGAAATGGTAATTATTTGAATACTTTACATTCATTTGCTTATGCCTGAGGATAAATTGGAAAAATCAGAACCAAGTAGTCAAGCTTAAGAGTTTCTCCTATGCTTTAGTATGTGTCATTATTTGGATCCGTATTCTCCCTGAGGCAGGGACTGGGTTTGACTGACCTTCACTTAAGTTCTCTTGTTCCAAAGAGTGCCTAAGGAAATTTACCTAATAAAAGGAGAAGAAATAGTGATAGCAACTGTTACCTGAGTGTGTATATTTCGGACCTGGCCCAGCGCTTAACTCTTTACATGCATGATCCCATTTAATCTTCATAGCAACCCTATAAGGTAGATATTATTGTCCGAATTTATAGATGAGGAAACTGAGGCTTAGGTTAAGGAGCTTTCACAAGGGCATACTAATAATCATTAACCCCCTGGGATTTGAAATTAGGCAGTCTTAACTTCAAAGTACATGTACTTACCTGTATATCAATATATCTCCATTAGTATTAGCTAAATCAAGAAAGGAGCCCAGGTGGCGCAGTGGTTAAGAGCGCAGCTGCTAACCAAAAGGTTGACAGTTTGAATCTACTAGCCACTCCTTGGAAACCCTGTGGGGCAGTTCTACTCTGTCCGATAGGGTAGCTATGAGTTGGAATTGACTCAATGGCAGTTAGTTTGTTTTTTTTTAACCAAGAAAATAAAATTAAATTACTTTTTAAGTTAGGTAATTTCAAATTGGGTAATTGACAAATTAGAGGTAAAATTTGGGCACTTAACTGATACCACCACAAAAATCCCTGTGAACAAAAAGCTGTTTAAGATTCAATTGATCAACAACTTATTTTAAGTGATACTTCATATAAATCATCCCAGCCACAGTTTTTTTTTTTTTCAATTGTGTTTTAGGTGAAGGTTTACAGAGTAAATTAGTTTCCCATCAGATAGTTTAAACACAGATAGTTCTATGACATTCGTTGCAGTCCCCACAATGTGTCAGCACGTTCCGCATTACCACCCTGAGTTCCCCGTTTCCATTCGTCCAGTTTTCCTGCCCCTTCCTGCCTTCTCATCTGTGCTTTTGGGCCGATGTTGCCCTATTGATCTCATATAGATGGTTGTTCTAAGGCGCACTTTCCTCAGGTATATTATTTTTCATTTTATAAGCCTATCTATTATTTGGCTGAAGGGTGAGCTCTGGGAATGGCTTCAGTTCCAAGTTAGAAGGGTGTCTAAGCTCCACAGTCTTGGGGGTTCCTCCCTCTCTCTCAGATCTTTTTATGAATTTAAATTTTGTTGTACTTTTTTTTTCCCCACTCTAACTGGGAGCTTCTGTTGTGATCCTGCTCATAGTGGTTGGTAGTGGTAGCTAGGCACCATCTAGTTCTTCTGGTCTCAGACTGGTGGAGGCTGTGGCTCCTGTGGCCCATTAGTCGTTTGGACTAATTGTTTCCTTGAGTCTTTGGTTTTCTTCACTCTGCTTTGCTCCATATGGAAGGAGACTAATAGTTGTATCTTAGATGACCACTTGCAAGCTTTTAAGACCCCAGACACTACTCACCAAAGTAGGATGTAGAAAGTTGTCCTTATGAACTTTGTTACGCCAAGCTCAGTAACTCAGTCCCAGGAGGTATTTGGTTATGTCTAGGGTGTTTCCATGACTATGCCCCACGTGTGCTTTATTATATATGTGAATATACATGTAGCACATACAAATACATACGTAGAAATATCCACAGCCAAACCTATATATGCATGTGAGTGTACTCCCATACACCCTTCCACACCTATCCAGCATACATATCTACCTATGTATCCATTCATAAATTATTGTTATTACCGTTGTTGCAGGATTGTGTATATTATAGTATTTATTTTCATTGCCTTTTATTCTCATGTACTTCTCAGTGTCTTCCCTTGCCTTGGTTATGTTGTGCTGACTTCCCCCGTATTGTGTACTGCCTTTCTCTTCACCAAAGTTAACACGTGTCTACTCTCTAGTTAGCGATTTTCCCTCCCTCCTTCCCCCACCCCTGGTAACCATCAAAAAATGTTTCTTTCTGTGTGTAAACCTTTTATTGACTGTTTATAATAGTGGTCTCATATAATATTTGTCCTTTTATGATTAACTTATTTCACTCAGCATAATGTACTCCAGATTCATCCGTGTTGTGAGATGTTTTGAGGATTCATCGTTATTCTTTATCGTTGCATAGTATTCCTTTGTGTGTATTGTACCACATTTTATGTATCTATTCATCCGTTGACGGGCACTTCTGTCTTTTGTTATTTGAATAATGCTGCAGTGAACATTGGTGTGCATATGTCACAGCTCTTATTTCTCCAGGATATATACCAGGAGTGGGATTGCTAGATCCTATGGTATTTCTATTTCTGGCTTTTTAAGGAAGCACCATACCATTTTCCATAGTGGTTGTAACCATTTTACATTCCCACAAGCAGTGTATAAGAGTTCCAATCTCCCCCACAGCCTCCCCAGCATTTATTTTTTTCTATTGTTTTGATCAGCGCCATTATTGCGGGGGCAAGATGGTATCTCTTTGCAGCCTTGATTTGCATTTCTCTAATGGCCAGTGTTCGGGAGCATCTCTTCATGGTGTTTTTTAGCCATCTGATGTCTCCTTTGGTGAAGTGTCTGTTCGTGTCTTTCGCCCATTTTTTAATTGGGTTATCTTTTTGTTTGGATCATCTCTTAATAACAATTTGTTGCCAAGAGAATTGACCAGTAACCAAACAGACGCTCATTGGTCTTGGCATACTGCTGTTTTTCGAGAACTAATGTAAATTTTAGTCTGAATTCCAGAAGGCACAGTTACTGTTTTCTAACAATACCCCCAGACACTGCTAACTAGGCATAGGCAAGATCTGTCCTCACTGATGTTAATTAATAACGTTAAAAAGTACCTTTTATTATATAAGGTTATTTTTCCAAAATGTCCATGCAGATAGTTAATATGGCTCCTGGACAGCCATGTAGGACCACTGGGGAGTACATGGAGAACTGTTTGAGGAGGCAGCATAATAGAATGGTTAAGAGTGTGGACCTTAGCATCACATTCCTGATCTGCCACGTACGAGCCATGTGACTTTGGGCAAGTACTGATCTTTCTAAGCCCAGTTTCTTCATGTGTAAAATGGAGATAATAATAGTATTCTCAGAAGGAGATGGGAGGATTGAGTGAGAAATAGCCCTAAAGCTCCAAGTACAATGCATGATACTGAAGGTTATTATTTTTATTGTTGTTTAGTCGTATCATTTAGTAGCAGATGTGGAGTTAGAGCCAGGCTCAGCGACATGAAGTCCAGCACCTGATTTGCTAAATCAGTAGAACATAAGCACCTGTCTTCTCACCAGAAATAAGAGCAAGTAGTAAAATTACAAAATGAGTTGTTAAAGTTTGATCAATTCTAGTCTTTCCTGTTACTATTTCAGGGACCGGTTTTGGTGTCAGTGTTTATCCCATGAGCACAGATCATTTCTCTCCAGGGAGGTGATCACTGTGCCTCTGCACATCCCCCGGGAAGCTCTGGAAGGGCATTCATTCCCTCCTGAAGGACATTTCCCCAAAGAAGGAACAGAGCACCTGCATTTCCCTGCTCTTTCAGAAATAAGCCACAGTGTTTTTTTGTTTTTTTAAAACATCTGCCCTTCTGTGGCCTTGCAGCCTCAGTTCTTAAGCCTTTCCCTGGATTGAGGCCAGCCTTGAAGACTTCTCGAGATTTTTAAGGAGTGGTTATAAGATTGTGGGTGAGAGTTATATCCCAGAGCCAAAAGACATGGGTTTGAATCCTTATTTCACTACTAGTAGCTCTGTGACCTTGGACAGATTATCTTCTCTCCTGCCTCAGTTTTCTCATTTGTAAAATGAGGAGGACAGTAGTACCTGTCTTATAGGTTGCTATGAGGTTTAAGTAAAACAAGGCACCAAGTGCTCAGCGTGGTTCAGGGCACATTAAGACTTAACCAGTGTGAGTTCTTATCCATCTTATCTCAGCCCCGAGCTCCTTACTTGATGCATAGGAATGAATTGAATGTTTCCGATGTTTCTAAAGTTTGAGGGGGGTTTTTGTTTTAAAAAAAAAGCTGAGCGAAGTTGGGCTTTCACCGACACTAAAATAACTGATTACCTTAGAAAACTAAATTCGTCATGCTGTAGCAGGTTCTAGATGCCGTAGATGAAGACTTGGTTTGTTTGACAAAATTTAACTTTAGTTCAAAGGAAAAAGAAACACTTAAACTAAATTGACTCCATTACTAACTGTCACATGGCTTACAGCCTTAGGAGTATTTTATGTGTGTGACCCATGTGAATAATAAAAAGAATACAGTAGATCCTAGACACAACTTCTAATTCCATTTTGTGTAAGAAATACAGTATGTCTTAATTGCTATACTCAATTTGGGAAGTTTCCTCTAGCGTATGCAGTAATGCTAGGCAGATAAATGTGGATTCAGTAGTTAAGCCTTTTACACATATAGCCCAGCACCTCATTATAACACCCCTCTACTTCACCCAGCTCGATTGAAGTCCATTGTAAATGTCTCTTTGGCACACACATTTTTAGGCTTCTGTGAACAGAAGGAAAGTGAGTGAAGCATCTGTAAAATGTATATTTCATATTTAGGTATATAAAATATATATAGCTACGTCTGGGTGTGTGACTGTTCACCCACCTACAAAGAGAATAAATTTGATCTTTCAACTTCACTGGGAAGCACTCAGAAGGTTCTAGGGACCATGGGGGTAAAACTCAGCCTGGCAATAAAGTGATTAAAGCAAAATCCTTTCACTTAGTTTAAAAATATCTCGGAAGTTGGCAATATCAAGGCACATGTTTTTAAAAAACCACCCTCACCCACCACTGCTACCACCTAAAACTTTTTACAACAAAAGTAGTTTGGCCTAGTTGTCTTAGACTCATCTGTTGCTCCTTGATAGCTGTGAAATTTTTATCATCAAAGTATATACTCACACGCTGAAGCACACACACCAAAACGTGTTTTTCCTACAAGTGTTCTTTTGTCTTACGAAATATGCTGGTAAACTTATCCTAACAAAAAAATTTCACTGGCATTGTGAGATATTAAAGAAGATCAGTAGCCCCTTGCTTAGTCCTTTTTGATTGTCTAGTCTATCCAGGATCAATAGGATCTTATAGATAAAGGACTACTGAGTGCTTATAGAATGTTGGCAATGTATTTTTCTAAACTGCCCGTGGTCCGTTGGTTGCAAGTTAGCTTCATTACCAGTACTGCATCAGCGTGTCTTTGACAGTGGGAGAGCCAGTCCTATGGGGTATTCATGTGCCTGCAGGGCTTTGACCCGTTCTCATTACGGGAGCATTTTACCTGTCTGGGGCTGGAGATGGTGGTGCATAACTCTGCCCCCCTCTGTCTTCAGTTTAAATTTAGACTGTCCTCCCCAGAAGACAACTGAAAACATACTTCATTCATTCTCAAGAGGGGCAATTTTAAAATAAAGTATTTCTGGAAGTGAGGGTGAGGGAGAGAGGAAGAGTAAGAAATGCTTTTTCCTAAGTATAATATGTTTTCTGCCAGTAACTTTGTCTTATATTTTACTAAAACTGACCTCATCATTTCAAACACGTGAACCTAGTTTTATCGCTTTTTTCCCTACATATTTCACTTGTACACACACTCACATTATATATGTGTGTATATGTAATTTTTTTTTTTTTTTTTTTGGGGGGTTGGGAAGAAAAGATGCCTCATTTTGAAACCTAAAGGGGGGAATAAGAAAAGCCCTTTGTAATATATTGCCATATTATCACTAAATCCCCTGACAGTTGTGACACACAGGCAAGTCACCTGTCACTTAAGCTTGAGGTCTCTTTAATTTTCTCCTGGAATTCGCACCAGGCTGTCTTTAATTTGAGGCCTTTATTGGAATTCTGAAACCTCTCTGCCTCCCTGGCTCTCAGATCTGTTCTGAGAGCTGTTACAGAATGTATACAATAACCAACAGAGGGATTCAGAGAGGGCTGGAGCTCTGTTTATTTAACACTCTAAAGGGATTTTTGTGCTTATTCGGTCCTGGATGCCCGGCTTTCAATATCGCTTTGACAACCATTCTGCCCTTCTCATTAATTTTAAACAGTTAAAACACAGGAAAAAGAGGAAAAAGTTTTCATTATTAAAGTGCTTTACTTTTTAATAACAGAGGATTCTGTCCGCCAGGGGAAAGGGCATCTTCGCTAATTTCACATTCATATTAAAAAAACGCGAAGGTGACAGTTGCCGCTGCTGAGGTGGCTTAACGAAAGGAGGGCACCAAAAAAAAAAAAAAAGTTTGCATTTCACATCAGTTAAGAGGGTAAAAAATCCTTGTTAATGACAATAGCAAATGTCCACTTTCGTAACACAGCTCCTGAATGACTTTTCTCTTGACATTTTAGTGGATAAAACCCTTGGGGGACCATGTACTGTGAAATGAACTAGGCTGTCATCAACCAAACAGGTAGCAGGAATGATTTGACTAAACTAAAAACATTTTCAGGTTGTTAAGTCTCTGTTAATCCAGAGATGAACATCGATCCAAAGAACGAGGCTTTTTCTTCTCTCCCCTTTGTTCTTACTCTCGCAGCCTTAAAAGTAAAAGAGAAACTCTCGGGAGTCTAGGTTGGGTTAGGCTCAGTTAGCCAGACACAGGCCCTTGCACCCTATTCCCTACAAAGGTTAAAAGAAGTAGGTTTTTATCCTCATGCCCCGCATGGGGGGTAGGGTCAAGGCTTAATAACACTACTCAAATGATCTCCACCACTCAGATGATCTCCACATTGTTGGGGAGACACATGAACAGAATTGGACCGGAGAAGCTGTGTTCTTTTGGATCTCACCTTTAGTTGAAAACATCCGTGTTTACTTTAATAACAGAAAACAAAAACAGCGGCTTTTCAGTGGGGATGTAAAGAACGGAAATCTTCTCTGGGACTGTTAAAGGATGAAAAGAAAATAATTTTATATTTCATTAACATTTTCCATCTGTAGAGCCCTGGTGGTACAGTGGTTAAGCGCTCGGGTGCTAACCAAAAGGTCAGCGCTTTGAACCCACCAGCCGTTCTGCAGGAGAAAGATGTGGCAGTCTCCTTCCGTAAAGATTTACAGCCTTGGAAACCCTGTGGGGCAGTTCTTTTCTGTCCTATAGGGTCGCTATGAGTTGGAATCGACTCCACAGCAACGGGTTTGGTATTTTTGGTTTTAGGGTCTTACACTGCAGATAGATGTTACTTCTTTCAGAGGTACGATTGGTTGCAAAGATCTAGGAAGTCTTCTGTTTGGACCTTTTGTTGTTTAGTTTGTTGGAATGGCCCACTCCTTACTAGGTTCCTGGGAACTCAGCATAGCGTAGGCACTCAGTGGTTATGGGCTAAATGAAGCTAAATGAATCTGAAACACTGAGAAGTCTGAACCTCTCTAGGAATTGAGGAAATGCGCTCTGGTATTCAAGGATCAGAGTAACTTTTTTAAGGCTAAATTTTAGGCAAGTCATTGTTGAATGCTCTTGGAAAGGAGTCACCCGTGTTCCATTGATAAGTGTTGGGGAATGTAAAAGATTTAAGGCCTAAGAAGGAGATACAAGATTCATTTGAAAACAGCTTATGTTCAGTGAGGTTTTAAATGCCTGAATTGGATGTGGAAAATTCCAAAGTGTCTCTAATGGTGTCTCATTTTGAATATGAGTGATAAGAGGCCAGGAAGAAAAGTAAGTCAGCAAGTAAGTAAATAAATAAATAGAACCGATCTGCTTCCTCACAAAACCATCCTCATCTTTGCTTGACTCTAACATCTTTATAGCTCCTCTTTTTTTTTTCCCTAGTAATATTGAGAGGATTACCCTTGTTGGCCCCTAGGTGGTTACTCTGTGATTTTACTGTTATTAAATCTATTATAAACTGCTTCATTATTCCTGACTCCAACTCTGTCTCTCCTTTAATCCTTCCGTCACCCTCCCAGAAATCCCATGCTGTTGGCCCCCAGGAAATCCGCGAGCGAGCCACGGTCTTGCAGACAGTATTTGAAGATTACGTGCACTCCAGTGAAAAGAGGGTCTCCTGGGCAAAGAAAGGTCAGTAGATTTCTTAGGTATTATGGAGTGGATAACCCAGCAGAACACTGCCCCCACCTCCACCCACACACCCCCAAATGGATTGAGAGGCCAACCAGGGGCCTCTGCTCACCAGCAAAAGCCTTCAATCTCTGTAATTCTGCAGGGTTTGGAAGCAGGCACGGAGGGCTTTAAAATGATATTGAATGTTAATTTCATCCTTCCTTATGTTTTGCACAAACGAGGCTTTATCTTGGCTTACATCAGGACTGGAGCTTTGACCCAACAACATGGATCTTAGGGGTCCTTTTTTCTTTTTCTTTGAAAACTAGGTGTGACACATCAGTAGAAATAGTTGTAGAGATGGAAATTAGAGATGAAGGTAATGACTGAAAATATTAGACCCAAGCAGTTCCTGTTTGAAAGTACAAAGAAAAATGAGAAAGAACAGTGCTGAGTAAGGGCCATAGACCATGAACCCAATTCCTAGGAAATTTACAAAAGAGTTAAGTATTACTTTAATATTCAGACTCCTCATAGGATAATTTGGCTCCTAGGATCACCAGACATTAAATGTGGACTTAACAGTCCACTTTGAGAAATGATCGAGAATAGGGGCACAGGGCTTATTATAGCTGATACTTTTTTATAGTGGAATGTCCTGTTTCTTGGCTAGCAACTGGCTCATGTGTGCTAATGAGACTTACTCCATATTGGGAATCCACAATTCTTTTCATTAGTTGCCTGCTATTTTGAGATAAATGCCGGGCTGGCTTACCAATATAGCATCCTTTCTTTTCTTCTTCCTGTGAATAGAAATATGTTTTTTAAAAATCATTTATTCAACAAATGTTTATTGAATTGGGCACTCTTCCAAGTGCTTGGGATACATCAGGGATCAGAACAGACAAAAATCAATCCTTGCCTTTGTGAAGCTAACATTCTAGTGGTTGTGGGGGGTGGGCAGACAATGAGCACTCTAAACATACCTCCATGCATTCATATATACATATATACGTACATACATACATAAACAAACTAGGTAGTGTCCTAAAAGATGATAAGAGCTGTGAAAAGAAATAGAGCACTCGGGTGATACCTGTGTCAATTGGCACGACATAGTTCATAAGTTCTGCATCCTACTTTAGTGAGTAGCGTCAAGGGTCTTAAAAGCTTGTGAGCGGCCATCTGAGATACAACTATTGGTCTCTTACCATCCAGAACAAAGGAGAATGAAGAAAACCAAAGACTTAAGGGAGCAGTTAGTCCAAAAGGTTAATGGACCACATAAACCACAGCCTACACAACCCCTACACCAGAAGAACTAGATGGTACCCAGCTACCACTGCTTACCGCTCTGACTGGGATTACCACAGAGGGTCCCAGACAGAGCGGGAGAAAAATTGTAGAACAAAAAATCAAATTCACAAAAAATATAAGACTTACACTGGCCTGACAGAGACTAGAGGAACCCCCAAGACTGTAGTCCTAAGACACCTTCCGAACTAGAAGTGAAGCCATTCTCGGAGACCACTTTTTCAGCCAAACCATAGACAGGCTCGTAAAATAAACAGTAACACCTGAGACGAATATGCTTCTTAGAACACTCAATTAAACAAGATCAAAAGGGCAACATTTTCCCAAAAGCAAAAATGAGAAGGTGAGAAGGGGTAGAAAACCAAGATGAAAGGAAATGGGGAGAGTACTGACACATTGTGGGGAGTGAAACCAATTTCATGGAACACTTTATGTACAAACTATCAAATGGGAAACTAACTTGCTCTGTAAACTTTCACCTAGTGCGCAATAAAAAATTTAAAACAAAACATCACAACCCAGCCAGGGAGGAGAAGATAACACTGGTTATTTTATGTAGAAACGAGTCATTCACATTTTCAGTATGGTGCTGCCACATTTGCCTGAGAACCATTTCAAGAAATCAGTTTGCATCAGCACCTCTCTTACGGATTGAATTATGAGCCCCAAAAATATGTGTTGTAAATCTTAACCTCTGTGCCTGTGGTTATAATCCCGTTTGGGCATAAGTTGTCTTTTGAGTGTATCTTGAGTCAGTATCTTTTGAGATATAAAAGAGATTAAACAAGCTAGCAGAGCAGAGACGGGAAGACACATGCCAAGCCACATGAAGATCACCCAGGAACAGAAACTCAAAGAGACAAGGACCTTCCTCCAGAGCTGACAGAGAGGCAAAGGCTTCCTCCTAGGGCCGACACCCTGAATTCAGACTTCTAGCCTCCTGAACTGTGAGAAAATAAATTTCTATTTGTTAAAGCCAAAAGAAGAAATAGAGCAAGGGAAGGGGGAGCAAAGGGGGTGGTGGGACAGAGTGCATTTATAGGTGTCAGAGTGAGCCTCACTGTGAAGGTGATAGTTGAATGAAAACCAGAAGAAGGATGAGCCCTGCAGCTCTCTGAAGAAAGGGCATTCCAGTCAGTGGAAACAGCCAGAGCAAAGGCACTCAAGGCAGCGTGGCTAGCAGAAGGGGAAGAGTCGCAGGAGGCAGATCTTGTCAGGGTTGGAGTTTGTCATGGGGACTTTGGGTTTTACCCTGGGTGAGATGGAGCCATTGAGGGCCTTGGAGCAGAGATATGGCATCATCTGACATGACTTTGAAAAGGTCATTTGGCTGCTGTGTACAACTGGGGGGTCCAGGGCAAAAGCTGGGAGACTTAAACATGAGAGCGACTAGGAGGCTGTCATAGTCATCCAGAAAGTGGATGGTCAAAACTGCTTATCCAGCAAATAGTTTTGAGTACCTGTTATATACGTTGGTACTTTATAGAAAAGTCTTTTTTTGTGGTCATAAAACTTGACCAAATCAGAACTGTACAGGGTCGAAAGATGAGGTCGCCGGTAACTGCTCTATAAACCACTGATATTTAATTAGTGTGTATCCTTCTAGACTTTTCCCCTAATAATATCCTTTCCCAGCATTTCCCAAAAGTAAATTCAGCAATCCCTAAGGGTTTTCCTAAGAACTTACCTTCAGATAAGTATTGGAGTATGCCTCTCAAGAGGAATAGAATATTTGGCACAGTGTAATAGAATATTTGGCACAGTGTAACTGTACAGAGTTTGGTCATTTGGTGAAAGTTAGGCAAATTCACCTTGCTGTGTGATACATGACTAGGTGGTGTGCTGCTGAATTTCAGGGTTAATAATAAAAGTATAATGAGAAGAATTAAATAAACCCACACCATAATCTCTGACTTTGATTTTGGTGTCAGAGTTATTTTGAATATTCTGGTGGGACCACAACTATTTCAGCATGACGGGGGTCATCGGAGTAAAAGTTATAGGAAGTAATACCTAGAGAACATGGTTTTGTGTTTCATCTCATCTTTGTCACCACTGAACTGATTAATACCAAGAAACAAGCAGAGCTACTTGTCTTCTGTTTAAAGGATATTGGACTGGAGCCACTCCCCTAGTGTTTAATTACCATGAAGGAAATAAATATATTATTTCTCTTATCTGCTAATTGATTTCCACACCAGATTGATAATGGGCTGTGACAAAACCACCTATGGTAGATGTCAGTCACCTGCTTCAAATATAAAGCTCTCCATTATTATTTTCTCTGCTTTTACTTAGGATTGTGCATTTTGGAGGTTTGGGAGAATGTACATGTATTTGCCACCCTAAAGGTAGTGAAGTTACAACATAGCATCAGCCACTGTACCCCATAAGTTGATACTATCTTTTGCATTTCAATCTGCATATGCAAATTCCTTCCACTACTGACTTGCTTCCCTTTTATGCCATTTCAGAACCCACCTCATGAATAATTAACAAAGCAGCTGGCTTTTGCCTTTATGGCAGAAAACTAGTTGGAAACTGGGCCAAGTGTGCATTTGTTTTCCCTTTGCATTTTCTGACCCAGTCACTGTTAATAACAGCATTTAATTGTTGTCAGTTTCTAGGAGCAGTTACCAGCCTCTTTTTCTTCTCATTTCTTAGATAGGAATTCAGGTGTTAAAAATAACTGTTACATAAGTTTGAATTCCACACTCCTGAACAAAAATTTCAGAAAATGGAGCCCTTTACCTGTAAATTGGCACTTTTCCTGTGGTTTGATCATCTCCATCTTCACATCTCCCTGAAGAACAAGGGCAACGTGTGTAGATTTATGCTGTGCTTGGAAGGGGTGCTTCTCCAAGTCAAGGAAACCCATACCAATGATGACAGTAACCCTCTGTGTGTGATGAGAGGTTAACTGGGTCCTTTGCCAAATGCTTTGTCTTTAAGAGAAGGGTAACAAGCTTCCTCCCTTCCCACGTCTTTTGATTAGTTGTCACTGTTGATGTGTCAGATGGAAGATGCATGTATCTTTACTCTGTCCAGACCTGTGCTTTTCTGAGAGATAAGGGCAGGTTGAGAGGAGCAAGTATTATCTTCACGTGCCAGCCTGGAGTATTGCCCCTTTCCACCTCTTGATTGTGAACATCATCCATCCATAAGATACTACTATTCCTGATCCAGAACATCCAGAAATAATTCTGATTTTATGAAAAAGGACAAAATGCCCATGTAGGGTATTTTAAAATAGATTTCCCCTAATTGATCTACCTTAAATAGTTGGCTAGGAATAGGAATCGAAGACTACACAGTGCTCATTGTGATTAGCTGTGGCTTCGTCCGGCATCCCAAATAAGTGTCTACTCTCATTACTCCTCTGCTTCCCGCTTGTGTTGGCCTTGTAGCCCCTGTTCCTTCTGCATATTCTAGACACTGCCAACATGAGCCACTTCTTGCCCCTTGGAAGGTCCTACAAGCAGCTGCTGCTGCACCTGAAATCCTGCTTCTCTGAATTATCTAAACATGAGAGTCCATGCAAGAATGTGAGGACAACCAACTGTCGCTGTCCCCAGTGAGACAGGCACCTTGAGGACGAGGAAGTTTAGTAAAAATATGCAGTGTGAAGTGCTGCCTGACCAGTTGTCTAGGGGAGAAAACCCTTCCTGCCATTTTGTGGCACGCTCATTATCCCTGTAAAGCTGTTAGTTGGGTACCTAAGTCTCCTGGAACAGAGGCTCTCCATCCTCAGAAAGAAGGGGTGAGCACAGGTAGAAGCCTGGGGGCTAATCTGCTTAAGTAGAAGAGTGGTGTGAAACAGGGAGACTCGGACCAGGATTAGATAACTGAGATTTTAAAAGCACAACCTCTCAGGCTTGGTTTGATTTGTCTTGCTTTCAGTCTGGTTCTTCTAGACCAGGGTAAACGTTAGGGGTAGGGGAGACAGGAAAAAAATCTCCTGGGTCACTGTAGTTGTAACGCTTGTGTCTCTATATGTAGCTTTGTGTCTGAGAGCCTGGTGTCAGAACCCTCCAAACAGTACAGACCATTTGAAGTGTTAAAAGATTTTCTTTGAAAAAGCTAGTCCCCAGTTATTAAAAACGGGAGTACGCACAGATTTAAGACAGGGGTGCAGAGGAGTTGCCTTGGTTATTATTTCTCATCGATTGGGAAAAGGAGTTCACTTTGCTCAGTAAATAGAGCTTTGATGGATTCTCAGGATCCTTCCAGGAGCTGATCTGCTAAAATGACACTTTTTATTACTGTTCATAAACGCCAATCTCCAGGTGCTGCTGGGATATTACATTTAAGCTGTGGGCAAACTTGCCAGTCCAGTGGCTCAACAAGCAAGGGAGAGGGAGGTTAGAGTTTAGTGCCTCCTTCCATCAGAGAGTGCAGGGTGGGCTTCGGTGTGGCTGGCAGGAAGAGTGGGGCTTGAAAGTAGAGGGCGCAGTGATAGGCATGGGGAGCTGCGTTTCAGAACAATTCCCTCCTTCCCTGTTGCAGTAAGAAAAAGACAGACACTTCATCATTCACTGTTACTGCAAGACATTCAAAGGGGGACTGGGTGTAGGTTCTCAAAGGAATGCCAGGTTAAAGCATAGGTAAACTCCACCTTCCTGAGAACTGGCTTTTCTCTGGCCTGTGAGGGATCTAGAACAAGGATACTCTGTTCTTGGCTTTAAAGTGGGACCACAAATTCCCTGATAGAATATTTGATGAACATCTCTAAGCTTTTGGCAATCTTGGGATGAACCATTTCATGGAGTGTTTTAGATATTTAATAATTTCCTTTCTTCTTTTTAAGATTATTTTTCATTTCCTTTTTTACACCTCCTTTGAATGGGTAATAAGCACTTCATTGGCCAATCCTAGATACTTTTAGAATGAATTTGCGTTTAAAATCCCGTGAATTCCTCTGGATAGGGAAGGTAGAAGCAAGGATTGTGGTGGAGGCAACATTTATAGTAATATTTTTCATTCATATATATTTCATTCATATAGAGATATATTTCATTCAATAGAGATATATTGACATTCATAGTAAGTCCATTTGAATTTTTTGTATTTTATAACACTGGTGTGGATTAACTATTCAAAAAAATTTTTTTTTAGTTAAGAAAAAAATGTTCCTAACATAAATGTCTGACGATTTCCTCACTTTCATAAGAAAATGATGTGCTAGGTTGCTCATTTGTTAATGTCTTCACTCATTCTCCCTTTCATTCATTTATACAGCAAACATTTATTACGTGTCTGCTGTGTGCCAGACCCTGAGACAATAATGAAGAACAAAACAGGCCCCTCCCCTTTTGGGTCGTTAATAAGCTATGCAGTAAAATCTGAAATTTTATTGGATTTATTTTCAGTGATTATCTTCGCTTATAGGTTTGGGGTTTGTTGTTGCTTTTTTAAAGAATTAAAAAAACTACGCAGAAGTATAGATTTAGGTTGTCCATGTATATCGTAACTGTCCTGGTTGGGCTCTCATCATCATCTGGCAAGATGAAGTACAGAGGTCATTAGGCTGGGGCAGATGTGAACTTCAGGACCCCAGTCCTGACAGCACCCTCTCCCTTTTTCTTTCAGCTCTGCAGTCCTTCATCCGAGCCTATGCAACCTACCCCAGGGAGCTGAAGCATATCTTCCATGTCCGATCCCTCCACCTTGGACATGTGGCTAAGAGCTTTGGGCTAAGAGATGCTCCCACAAATCTTAGTGTCTCAGCTCTAAAGAAGAAGAAAACAAATCTGAAAAGGTAAGATGAGCAGAATTGTTCTGTAGCAAGTGGCGGAAAGTCTGGTGAGTATAGAGAGCCCTGTTCAGATTAGCAACGGTGAGATGATAAGGTCGGCTGCTGTGCTCGATAGAAACACTTCCATCTTTGGTTTTTGTGGGAAATTGTCACCAGCATCTGCCCTCCTCTCAATGTAAGTGCTCAGAACAAGAGAAAAAGTACGTAATGTTGGTATTTTTAAGGCATCTACAGGAATTCAGCAGTGTCTCCTGTCAGGCCCGAATGTAGTGGAGATATTGGAGCAGCAAGACAAAGGTATTGGCAGTAGAGTAAAGTAGGGGACTAGCCACAGTCAGTGCTTCAAATGTGCTGTGGTCACCATGGAAAGCATCTGAGACTTGTACGAAGACTCCCAGTGTGTTTCATGAAATTAGCCCCTGCGGCATACCCTGTAGTGAAATGGGAGGGTATGAGTACCCCGCAGAGCTCTGCAGATTTGCAGGAGCTGGTGAGGCTGGAGAGCTCCAACTGGATTGTTTCAGGGAGTTAGTGTTGGGCTCCTGGTGGCGCAATGGTTAAGGTGCTTGGCTGCTAACCAAAAGGTTGGCAGTTTGAACCCACCAGTGGCTCCATGGGAGAAGAGACCTGGCATTCTGCTCTGTGGGGCAGTTCTAGTTCTACTCTGTCTTACAGGGTTTCTATGAGTTTGAATTGACTCCACGGCACACAACAACAACAGTATTAGACTCTGCAGCCCATGGTGTTGCTCTCTTTGGTGCTGACACGTCTCCAGGGCTGAGCACTCTTGCAGGCAAGGGCAGAGGACTCTTTCCCTCCCAAAGAGTGTATTAAGAACTGACCAGTGGTTGTTTTGTTGTTACTAGCTGCCATCAAGGTGGCCCCAACTCATAGCAACTTCATGCACAACAGGATCAGACTGCTGTGATTCATAGGGTTTTCATTGGCTGGTTTTTGGAAGTAGATTGCCAGGCCTTTCTTCCTAGTCCATCTTAGTCTGGAAGCACCTCTGAAACCTGTTAAGCATCATAACAACACGCAAGCTTTCACTGACAGATAGGTGGTGGCTGCATTTGAGGTGCATTGGCCAAGAATCAAACCTGGGTCTCCCACACGGAAGTCGAGAATTCTACCACTGAACCCTTTGACCAGAGGTTCTAGTGAGAGGAAAGTCAGAGTGAGAACCATCCCCCTGTAGATTGAAGGGAGGGCTCTGAGTCCGTTTTACAGTTTCGTGAGGTCCTGAGATGATTTCCCTTAGCAAATTACATTTGCAAAAGGTCTTTTGCTCTTCGAAGATGACTTTTTTTTTACTATTAGGACCTAGAATATCATAGACACAATGAGCTGCTCTTGTGGAGGAGCTTTGGGATGGATTGCCATTGTCACTTACACAACCTTTGTGGAGGAAGGATACACTGAATAAATGTTTAGGGGCACAAAGACTTTCCTTTCATCAGCCTCAGTTTTATTATGGAATCCTTGGATATTCTAGACAGTTATTTCACATTATATATTCTTTCTGCACATTAGTTGCAAATGCCATGATATACTCGCCCTGACTCTGAGAATCTTAGGCAATACCACGCTTTCCTCCATGTTCCAGCACAATGGCTGTCTTGCTCCTTCACCAAGAAGTGCTGATTACCCCATCAACCTTGTCAGGACCCAGTATCTCTGGTGCAAAGTGGCAAAGGGAGAGTGACCACCTGTTGTAGGGAAATGACCATTGGTCTTGGAGTCAGAGAACTTAAGCTGCAGCTCCATTTTGGTGTGGATTTTGGATCATAGCGTTTCCTCACCTGCAAGAGGAAGAAGAAAATCCATGTTTTAGCTGCTTTACAAGATTGTTTTGAGGATCAGAATAAGGTGGTACATGTGAATATGCCTTTTGAAACATAAAGGGCCATACAGATGAAGTACCTTAGGACAGAGAGCTGGGAACCAGATGGGTTAAGATTCAACAACATCCAGTTTGATCTGTCTTGGGACTTGGCATCTAGATGACTCTTTTACAATGGCTAGAATTGTGCCTAATTCTTATTCCAGTTTTGGAATTTTTAAGATGCTTGATTTTTTTTTTTTGTTTCTTGTATTGGAACCTCTCATATAAGACAATAGTCCAGTAAACCTGTGAGGCAGATAGAAACTATTTCTCCCCACACTACTGTACTGCAGTACCCGAATGAGAGTGGGCGTACAGCTCTGGTGTTTCCCAGGCAGTTCTGAGGTCCAGAGGTGTGGAGCAGAGCGCTGCCTGCTGCTGCACATTTGTCCTGGGCAGAGCTGCCAGCGCAGAGACTTCTGCCTGTCCTCCACTTGAGCAGTCCCCCCTCCCAGAGGGAGAAGACTCTTCAGATCTGCTCCCAGATACACGCGGTCATGCCAGGGTTCAGGCTGCAGTGACCAGAGTTAGTTCCTTGTCTTTGGATTTAGTGTAGCTGGTATCTGCATGTATTAACTTTGATTTTGAGTGTTTAACGAAGCCATAAGGCTTCTCTCAGTCTACATCTGAGAATGACCTTCTTATGATCTGAAAGCCTGACCATCATTTCATCATCAAGGTAAGAATAGACCTGCCAAATGATTCCTGTTAAATACATATCTTTGTTTATGCCTCTTCCCTCAAATAAGTGTAATCCCAATATTTTATTGTTAGCAGATGATCTACCTCTATGACTGGGAATTTCATTAGCAAGTGTTAATCCAGATAGCAGCTCTTCAGCCTGGGATGTCTTCAGCTCTTACCCAAATCCTGGAAAGCAAAGCAGGGAGGCAGGGAGGCAGTTGGGAGGGGGAATTGGAGACAGCATTGTCCTTACCTTGAGAAGCCACTAGGGAGAGAGCAATCCGCCGCCTCCTGCTTCAGCTGACCCTCACTAGCAGATGGGCACCAGGACTACTATACCCCTGTGAGCAGGGGATTTAACAGGGCTTTATTTAGGGAAGAATGGGCTGATTAGCCGATAAAGAGCATGTAAGATGGTATGGGGCAGCCTTTGATGTCTGGCTGGCGCAGCAGGGAGCCGGGTGGTGAGTGACAGCAGTGTGTCACAGGATTACTCTGCTCATGACAATGCCGCTCTCTGTTCTTGCCATGTCACCACTCTGTTCCAGCCACTTTTTCCGTTGTTATGCCCTTCTTTTGAAGGCATTTCTCTCGCACTCCTTCCACCCTCCCGTCCCACCCCTGCCTGTACAATGCAGACGGGCACTCAAGGATGCAGTAGGTACCTTTTTTTATTTGGGGGAGATCTTGTCACTTCCGAAGGAAGAATGACTTTGCAGCTAATCTGCACATGGACCGTATAATTGTGGTCAGGGTTAGCGGCAGAGAAAACTTGACAGATTTTCCATACCTCAGTCAGGGCTCAAGCAAATGCCAGTTGCTGCTTTTTGAGGACTGGAAAGAAAGTCCATTAAACCTCACAAAGTGTGGAGAGTTATGCTGTGGCCACAATTATTGTTCTGAGCTGAAACGTCTCCTCTGAAATCCATCTGTCAAGAAGGAGAATGGGTCCCTTATGTTTTATATGGGTGAATAAAATAATAGCACTAAATTCTCTGAGCTATTCAGCATTTCATTTTATGGTGTTTACTGCCGAGAATAATTATATATTGTGTGCAGAGCTCTGATATCTGCAAACCAAATCCATCAGACTGTAAACGAAATCTTTCCTTTAATCACCTGTCATACACCAAACAAGGAGTTCAAACGGGGTGTTAAAAATATGAATCAAGGGCAGTTTAGGTTAGGAGACTATTAGACACTTCCATGCAATGACAAAAGGAATTTTTATCTCATATGCCTCTCTTCCTTTACTCGGCCACTTTTCAGAAAATAGAAAATAAATAATGTCCACAAATGAGATCTTAATAGCCAGGTCTCTGTCTTCCTTTTTAGTCGTTAGTTCTGAAAAGAAACACTAAATGTCTTCCCCCTGCACACAGAAATACAGTCATAGTCACAAAAACTCTTCTGACACCTACACATAAACCTGTCAAAACAAGCCCCTCCCCCCCAAACACCTACATACACACGTACACAGATAGTTGGTGATATTGGTAAAATATTGAATGGCCCCTTAGCAACATCCATCACAAAAACAGCATTCTTATTTGGAAGCTGTGTAAACCCAGCAGTTCCTGAGAAGCAAAAGTAGCACACCTTCCACAGTCCTGTACCTTTTCAGGAGACACGGAGAGCCAAGACTGTCAGCTAGCAGAGGGCGGAATTGTGTGGTTTGCCAGGTGTCTGTCTAGGCAGTGCACACGGGGCTGGGAAGTGTCCAGGAACGGTGAGAGGCATGCCACTGAGGGCCGCAATTCTCTTATTTGTCTGACGCTTTGAAAAATGGTTCAAGGCTAGAGAAATGAATGTACCTTAAGATCTTGGTGTTGTCATGGTGATATTAAAGTGTGGGTCTGCTATATAGGGTCACTATGAGTTGGAATCAACTCAACAGCAACAGGTTTGGTTTTTTTTTTTTGGTTTGGTATTGTGTGTAAATAATATGCTATACCCAGGCACTACTTTTCCCCATGTGATGTCGTTTGTAGCTACCTAAGTGGTTAAGAGCTTGGCTGCTAACCAAAAGGTCGGCAGTTCGAATCTACCAGCCGCTACTTGGAAACCCTATGGGGCAGTTCTTCTCTGTCCTGTAGGGTTGCTGTGAGTTGGAATCGACTCGATGGCAACAGGTTTTTGTTTTTGTTTGCTTTAAGATTGGTTTTACCCGTGGCTTTTCTGCATCTGTGTCTCTTTAGCATTATTCTTAGTGCCCAGAAACATCTGGGACATCTTCATTATCAGTAATTCCATCGTTTTTGTTCCCGTTCTCATCTCCTGTCTTTTAAAATTACTAGAGGAACAACAGTCTGAATTGTTGACTATTCTTGAAAGAAAGAACAGTTTTATTTGCATCTGTTTACTCAAATCAGCCTAGTTAAAGTGTTACCTGGTGGTTCCTGATTTTACCAAATAGGTAAATAGGTAATAATCT